AAAAAGCTAAAACAATCGAGCCCGTATAAGAAGACACAACCCATAATACCAGCTTGTACAAGAAAAGAAAGAGGGGGAGGGGGGTCTTATAGGGGCGCTCCCCTCCTCCGCCTCCGTCCCTTTCCAATGTGGGATTGAGACGGGAATGGATTCACTTTTAGCTATTTTTTTAATTCTAATTATAATTCTAATATTAATTTTATATTAATATTTAAATTTATTCATTTATTTCAATTTTCACTATTAACAAATAGAATTTCTTTTTTCAATTTTTCTTTTCAAATTTAATTACAAAATTTTCAAACTCATACTTCTATTTCTAATAATTCAATTTAATCATCATATACATGTGTGTACATATATCAATATTTCATATAGTTATGTAATTAAACACTAATTTGGTTATAAATTATTAAGTATCAATAAAACACAATTAAACAACATTGAACTTTAATTTACTAATTCAAATTATTTTCATCAATCTTCATTATTTTATTCTGACATTTTTATCGACATCGACATTTTCATAGGTAAGTAACTCATATTTTTACATATGATGGTTAGAAGTGATCAATTATAGCTTAATTAAACTACAATTAAAGTTTTATTTACTAATAAAAATTAATTCAAATATTCGTCGACATCGACATGTCTGTAAAATAGGGACATCTACATCTCGAACTTGGTTGTGAGGAGAGAGAAATTGGTGTGTTAAACTAAATAAGAAAGAAAAAAATTGCTGGGAGATTAAGTCAATTACGTGAGAAAGGGAATTTGAAAGGTAAAAAAGTGGGATGTGGGTCCCACTTGTAAGAAATGATGAGAGAGAAATAAATATAGTTGTATTGTAGAGGGAGAATGAGGTTGTTGATTAAAGAGTGTAGTTTAATTTAAGTTATTGTAGTTTTAAATTGGGATTAAGTATGTATTGAAAATTGGTTGGTTATTATTTCATGACGAATAGCAATTGGAGCCACGTACAATCCAAATTAATACCGTTCGTAGGATTTGTGAGTGGTTATTTTATTAAACGTTTTGGATATTATTATTGATTTGTGAGTGGTTCATTTTACATATGTTTTAGATATCTATTATTGTAGAATTTCAAGAAAATATATATTACTTATGATTTATTATTTCTGCTGAGAAATTGTGTTTGCTAAGAATTTAGAAATGTTTTTTAGAATTTGTCAATGTTTTTTAGAAACTTAGAAATGCTTTATGATTTAGAAAAATGTTTGAGGAAGCTATGAAATGTTTTAGAAAGAGATTTAGAAATGATTTGAGAAAGTTAGAAAAGTTCTTAGAAAGAAGAAGAAAAGAATTTTAGAACAGTACGTTTATTGAGAATAGTTTTCAAACCATCATATTATTGTATCCAGGTGATTACTCGTGTGTTACATGAATGTGTTTTTATAGTATACCAGAAATGGGAGGTCTTTGGGACCATTTGAGAGAATTAGGTATATGTGAGATTACTTTGTGCCAGTAGACCAGAACAATAACAGAATATAGGTACATATGTGGTGTTGAGTTTTCTTAACCTACTTTATGTTTGAATGAGATATTTTGTACGTATTTAAAAAGTGATTTTAGAAATTGTGTGTTGTTACCAGTTATTACTAAAAACCTTACTGAGTTTTAGTTACTAAAATTGTATGAAGTTTTTATGAGAAAGTTTACTTCAGTTTCATAATATTCAAAAATATTGAGAATTTCAGTTGTTAATGAAAGAAGTTTTACGAAACTATTTTCTTATTAAATTGCCACACACCGAGCTTCTCAACTCACTATTTATCATTGTTTTCTCCACCAAGCTGCACTTGAGTTTCAAAGAGATAGCTGACCAGTTTCTGTCACTCAACGTCTCAGAATTTGCATATCATTTTGTATGTACATTTATAATGAACTCTAATAGATTAGTTGCACCTTTTATAGTTGTATTATGTACACTTTGTTGTATATATTAGAGAAGAATCTTAATTAGTTTTAGAAATTTAGAAAGAAATTGACTATAGACTCTGTAGTTAGTTGGAATATGTGGTCGGCACGGCTTGTCTTAGAACTAGTAGGTATTTTAGGATGGGTCGTGTCAACTACCAGCTCAGCCACTATACCACGGGAAATTCTCACCACAACTTACTCCTATTATGGATGATACTAATTAATTATTAATTACCAAATATTAGTTTTTTCTTTTTTCTATTAATTTTTTAATTTCCTTTTATTTTGTCACGTACTCAAGTAGTTAAAGTACATATTTCCAACAAAAAGATGGTGAATGTTATAAGTTAGAATTTTCAGTCTATATGTTGTTCAAAAAACAATTTTTTTTTATTAAATTATTATGAGTGATTTATTAACTAATTTTTATTACTAATAAATTAAGGTTCATAATCACTAAATTATCTTTAACCATATTTTAGATTTACTTTCAGTTTCTTGAATGGTAAATGAAAATAATTGGACGTATTGTATATATTAAGCCATCTTGAATTTCAATATGTTTTTGTTGTTATTGTAATAAACATATAACATATTGGGATCCATCGTCGGGATGAATGAGAAACCTTTTTTTTTTTGACAAATTTTTGTACATGTATGTTTTATTAGTTTCCACGCGGAAAATTTGTTATTTTTTGAAAAATATAATTAAACAAAATAAAGCCATATCATACGGGAGCTGAGGAGTGGAAGCGAAGAATTCAGAAACACGAAAATAAAAAATAAAAAAGTATATGAATTTATGGAATTGGCGAGGGGCGAGAGAAATAAAAGAAGATGAAGAAAGAAAAAAAATTGGAGGAAGAAGAAAGAAAGCTTAAAATGGTATGTGGTGGCGGTGAGCCGGCGAAGAAAGGGGGGACGACATAACGGCGAAACGAGAGCTGTAAATGGTGGAAAGATCCACACTGGTGGGCGACAGCGTGGGTGGCCATGGGCTCGACGGAGTTGCAGAGGTCATAGAGTTGGTAATGCCGCCGTACCCTCTCGGCGGCTGCGGTGGTCTCTCTCCTTTCCGGCGAGGCCCTTTCTCCGCCCACCTCAGCTCCGCCTGCTTCACCGCGCTTGGGTACCTCCAACCGAAGCACCCCACATCTCCTGCCTTCGCTATGTATCTGTATAGTACAGTACATATAATGTCAAAATTTATGCATTCTGATTCTTCAATCCCTTTAAATTTTTTTCTTTTCAAAATGGTTACCTGTGGCTGAATTTTCTTCCCAAACACTCCATGCACTTTCTTCCCTCCGTCATCTCTCCCATCCCTATTCTCACGCATTGCCTACAGTAGACTCTTCCACACACCTGCCAAATTAAACATTAGTTGTATGCTCTTGTGTTTGAGCTTTGAAATGAAGAGTTGATTTGATTTGATTTTGAGCACCAGGCAACGATGTCGGAATATATAAATGTAGGTGCTGCAGTTGGTGCAGATATTGGAGTGAGGAATCCCAGGGCGGCGTCTCCCCGGCGTGGCTCTGTGATGCTCATACATGGAACTGAGTCCTCTGTCACTGTACTCCAGCACACGACCCACGTCCACCAAATCCACACCCTCCGGCTTCGGGTGCGCACTGGGGTGAAGCCTGATTTTGGCATCAGGGCGGGACTGTTGGCTGGCTGCTTGCAGAGCCCTGTTGAAGTCCAGGCTTGGTAGTTTGGTCAGTGGGGTGCTCTGCCTCTCGTTATCGCTTGGGATTTTGCTTCTTTTCTTCTCAAAAGAAGAGTTGGGTTGAAGATTAACATCTGTGAGATGTCGAAAAGTGAGATTCACTGAATCGTCTGGCACCCCTTCGTACAGTGCTTCCAGCTCCATTCTTGCCTTTCTGAACCCACCATCATCCATCGCAGATTACATTCTAAATGCTCCAAGTCCAAACCCACTGCTTTATAAAGCCAAAAACCTGGCCGGTATCTGCCTTGCTGGACTCATTGCCACGACATTTCCTTCGAGACATAAAATATATCAATCAATCATCTCGATTGTATCGATAGATATAGATGGATAATGAATAAATGAATGAATGAATGGGGTTTCATTTGATTATAATGAAAGATAAGAATGGAAGAGGTCAATAGACAATACCTGAGCTTTCGGAATCTTTTCAGAACACTTGGCCAAGAAAGAAAGAGATCCTCGGCCGGACTATTTTAAAAACCCAGAAAACCCACTTGTCCTACACTGTCGTTTACCTGATGTTTGAAGACCAAGCTGCATGACTCATAAAACTGGTCAACTGTAGTCTGGGCAATAGCGAAGGCTGCAACTTTTATGTTGAATTATTCGTTCAGTAACATTAGCTTACAAAATTATGCATTATGTCAAACAGCTTTTGCAATTGAAGTATCCAAAAGACGTCCTTCACATTACTGGGAAACTCGACACGCTACATCATATATTAATACATATATTAATACAACTCCTCTTAGCAAAAAGGAGCAAGAAGTGAGGCTGAAAGATCATCAATGATCAACTTGTATGATAAACTAACAACGTATATGTTTCAGTTATATTATTTATATACCATGTGAGTAAGAGAACTTGTGAAGAAAAAAAAAACCAAAAATGTTTTCAATCTCAATGGTGCTCTTCTCTGCATCCGTTGCTTGTGCTCTCATGTCCCGATCCATGACACCCTTCATCAGATAGGCGTCTCTCACTCTCTGCGCTACTTGGTTGACTGGACTGCTGCTCACTTGTAACGCTGGAGACTCCAATTTGCTTTGTGTAGCTGTCTAAAGGTTGGCTGGCAGCCTCGACAAGGCTCATCATGCTTAATCCTGCTACCTCCAGTTGCATGTCCTCTCGGTCGGGGTGGCAGTTCAAGTCAATTTGCCCACTGCTAATTGCAGCCTCCCTGTCTTTAATCCTACTCTGACTTCCTTCATTCTCTGAATGGTCTGTGTGCAGCAATGTATCCCTCACTGTCCCGCTCATTCCTGACACGTCGAATTGTGGATTCCCATCCTTGAGCAGAGTCTCAACTTCACGTTCAGATTGGCGTTTCTTCTTCCGCAGCATGAGTGTTTTAAAACGACGTTTAACAGTCAAGCAGACATTGCATGTGCATGTGGACTTATGCTTTCCCTTCCCACTTGGCGGCTGAATACACACAATGCACGTGCATCCTGGTCGGTGTCGAGGATGTCTAGTTGTTGTACCCAATTCCTGCAAGTCAACCATACTATCACCCAGCACAGCAGCACTGGCCAGCGCATCCAAACCAGAAGGCTCAAGATCTTGAGTAGACTTCTGGCTCTTCATGATTTTACGTTTCTTAAAATCTGGAGTATATAGAGTGCAAATGATCAGACGCTGCATAATACATTTACGAATAGAAATTTCATTTCCAAAACAACATTTTAGTTTCAAATGACAACTTAATGAAGTGCAGTGATCTAAGGACAAAAGTAACAACATGGTGAGTAATGACATCACAACCATTCCACTGATTTCCAATGAGTCTGACGTCACAGGGTAATCTGTCTTAAAACTATCTGGCTATCCACTCGCATCTCAACTTATATTATCGAGTCAGTCATCTGAGACGTTCACTCTTGACAAACTTCTGCTACAGAAAACACACAGGACAGAAGTTTCATCTAGCTTTTATGCAATGTCTACATTCATGCACGACTAAATGTGGCTAAAACTACTATCAAAATGCACTGAAGCATCTAATTAAGACATATTAACTCACAATCTTAATTTTCCTTCCCCAAATTTAGATAAGACAACCTAAATGCAGCCAACATTCCATCCCATATTTCACCACCTATCTAGACATGTAGGCATTACAAAATTGTCCCTGCTCAATTATTTAGGGTTCTCTACTAATTATAATGAGCCCAAAGCTTGTATAGATGGGAAGGAGGTTCTGCCCGTACCTTTACTTGCTCTAAGAAGATTCTCTTGTTCCTTTGTGCTGATCTCTTCTGGGGCAGAACATGTACACCTTAGAATACAAGGTTAAAAGTGTCACATATCGTCCTTCCATGTCATGGGAATAATATTTGCATACAACACCTATAGACCATGGGAAAGAGAAACAACAAGACAATATTGCACCTGCTCAAATCCCAAACATTATCCGAACAAGTCCACTTTGGAGGGAGAAGAACGTCCACAGGCAACCTCCGCCATTTTGAACAATCATCACACTGAGCCCATTGTTTCTGTTCCCTGAATTATTCCAGTCTAATCAGCTATAAGAACTCAATGCATAGATATGTAAACTAAAGTGAACAACATGCATATTCAAATTTCAAACTAAATTCATAAAATTGGCTACACTTGACTGAAACTAGATTGAGCCTTGCTTTGAGATTAGAGACAGACTTCATGACAGTAACAAGTTTTAAATAACATTAGCAGAACACTTGAATAAACCTAACGAAGATTTATTAGCCACATATTCGAGTCTAACACTTTCATCACTCATATATATAAAATCTTGAACAAAAACCTTACCCAGTTGATGTGACAGTGAATATAGTCCGTTTGCCAAAGACTGGAGGTTCCTGAATGATTTTACAGTAGGGTCATGTTAAAATCAGATCCATAACTTTGAATCTAATCATAAATCATTAATACACGAATAAGCATAAAAAATCATTAGTTTTCTAAAGAAAACAGAAAACCTACATCATACTCTTCAAATTCATGGTCATCAATAGTGACAATGGTGGGATTTGCACTTGGTGGAGGGCGGAGTAGATCTTGAGCTTCTTCCCATGTGAGTCTTAACTCCAAAGCATCTTCACTATGCATGAGCAACCTTTTATTCTTAGACCCAATGTTTCGAGCCCCTTTCTTCTCCACGGGCAACATTGGTTGTTGTCCTGAAGCATCATTTGTCTTCCCGCCAAAATTTTCACAATTATGCAAGCTAATATCTCCATCAGCTACAATGAAAAATGGTCAGAATAAATAGATGAGGTTGCATTCTAT